TTATTTCAAAATTGTAAATATATTGCAACAGATGTTTTCATTAATTGCACCAGGGTAGCTAAGGTGACATTAGCGCTTTTTAAATTACCCAAATCTTAAACAGAAAACAGCAGCTGTATGGAAAAAGTAATAACTTGGACTCATCTTACCAAGGAAATACTGGATTTCCAAAAAGTTTGTATTTCACTTTTTTAAATTCAAAAATTTCAAATTGCAGACTGATTACGGTCTTCTCATAGAAGAGCCAACTATGCAGATCCATTATTTAAAGTTGCAATTCATTCTAGAGAGGAAAGGATTAAATGGCTGTATAACTATGAGTTATACAGTACAGGATCTCTGCCACATAATATGAGTAGGTGGTAAATTGTATTTGCAGGTTGCTGTTATCACTATCACCAGACAGCACAATATTAATACAAAGATTCTTCTCCATAACAAATTCTGAAGTATGTCATGTAATTCAGTGAGCTAAATCTGATAATAGTCTAGGTCACTGTTTCACAGTTAGCACAAAGGTAACATAAAGACATAATTTACCAAAAGATACATTTGCAGAGTCAAGATGGAGTGAGATTTCAGATCATTTGGTTTCCAGTCCTGTCTTACAAATACAATATATTTGTTCTTCCTCCTAAAAACACTTATGAAAAACATTACCAAAACTACTCATAATGGGTTGTAAAATGAGTTTGAATGAAACCAGAGTTTCAAAACAAACAAAAAAATCAGAATAAGAGTTCGATCAGTGCTGCATATTGTGGCTAGCTCTACATAAAATCCAACCAAGGTCTAAATATCTATGCTGTCTTGATACCTACCTACATCTACCTGTTGCTTTTCAAGGAATACATGAATGCCACATTAACTGGCACTTACAAATTATCATTTTCCATTAGAAACAGTCCCTGAATTTTCCTCAAATACAAGAAATAATAAATTATTTCATATTGACATTAATTTAATTCTATTTTTATTTCCTAAGAGAAAAACGGATGCTGAGCCAGAAGCTATATCCCCAGTGATATGTAACCGTAGCTGTTCATACTACCTGAGATGCTTTATTCTCAATGTTAAGAACAGAGACATAATCTTAAACATATCACTGTTCATTTGACTGAAAATCTTTCTTCTCCCTGGGACCTAGATGATTTGGTGCACGTAGAACCCTGAAAACAGTAAGAGCAGTAGATTCAACACAAAATTTGTGGTAATATGCAACTGAGTTGACTCATATTCTATTACTCTGAGCCACTCGGTAGTAGCTCAAGGGAAGCAGCTCACAGAAGTCCTCTCACTCTCTCCCAAAATTTTGTCCATTGTTAGTGATGTAATGGCTAGACCCAGAACCACAAAAAGTGTCCGTATGTGCTATAAGAGAAGCATTACATTAGTGATTGTCTATCTAGCTTTGTTTTATATTTGGACAATAAATGGAAGTAAGGGCTAAAGTTACATTAGTTTCCAGACTACAAATAGATTAGTTTCCAGCCTTATGAATAATCATATGCATTGTGAGCCCTTAAAAGACTAGTCATGTGGATTGACAAGTTATGCATTGTTAGACCATATTAATTAGACAGAAGGCTAAACTCGTAGGTCTTTCTATGCATAATCCTAATTTCAGCCTTTAAAAAGTCTTGTTGTAAAATGTAGAGTCTACCGGAAAAAGGAATAATTAATAAACCCAGAGTAGAAAGAGCACAAATTCATGTAAATTAAAACACCTAATGGACTATCCTTACCTCTAAATTCAAGTTCATACTGCATTTTTTGAGTCAAATTGCCAGTATGTTGAGAGATACTTTTTAAGAGAATTGCTATATATTTTTTTTTTTTCCTCAACCTCCTCCCATGGTGATACTTCACCACAGAGAGCATATATTTATTTTACCATAGGAGAGAACTATGACTGAAGCAATGTTATGTTGAATTCAGATGGGAGTTTTTACAACCCAGGACAAACAACAAACTGATACTCAGCTGCTGAAAGAAACTCATAATGTGTTTTCATGATATGAATAATATTCTCGCCTTCTACAAGCAGAAAACTAAGTTCAAAATTAAGTGATTTTCCTAAAGCTACAAAAAAGATCAGAAAGGAATGGTGTAGAGGTCTCCAGTAAGGTATAGGAAGAACTGATTAAACCTATCTATTCTCTTTTATAAGAGTCTTATCTTTTATCTGTCTGTCTGCCTATCTATCGATCTAACTGCCTACCTATGTATCTACCTATTTTTCAGATTCAGACTTCATATTATAGTATATTTCTTGGGTAACAGGATCTGTGCATCACTGAATACTTTATCACCAGATCTAATAACTAATGGAAGACAATAAAGACACAAAGGAGGGTCCATAAGTGTTAAGACAACTAAGTTCACTAGATATTGGGGGAAAATCCTCCCTACTATGAAAGACAGAACTAATTTGATTAAACTACTTAATTCTGAAATTCAAATAATTTTATATGCGTAGTATAGTTGTCAGTAAAGCATGGTGAAATATATTTGGACCAACTAATCATCAGTGTAATACAACAGGCTGCAGTGATTATGCCACACATGTTTTCTTTGGATAACTATGAAGATATGACATATGCTTAAAATGTTTCTGCAAGCAGCAAGAAGTTTTAGATCTAGAAAAAGAATGAACACTCATCAGACGCACACTGTAGACACAAGTCTGAACTTTCTATGGGCATCTTCAGCTTTACACACTGAAAAAAAAATCCATGCTGGTTTAAATATCTTCTAAGACATTAAGACAACCCAGAACAGTAATATATTCTCATTTAATACAATACCTTCTAAATCTTGCTTAGTTACGGAAGAAATCAGAAAGAAACAAAGCTCTGATTTCATGTACCTTGCATAGCCATTTGAAAAGAACCTAGATTGATGGATTGAAAATTAAGTTTCCACTACTATTCAACTCCCTGCTGTGAGCAACTATGCACCACATACTTCCTATTTTCTCTGTTACCTTGATATTAGAGTTACAGATCCTGTATTTGATAAAGACCCTGAAAGACAGAAGTGCTAGAACAACTCAAACTGCAAAGGGCATGTGGCAGATGAATTCCCACCTGTAACTCCTGTTGGCAGACCACTTGACGTACTCGCCCTTTACTCAGGGCTATGCCTAAACTCACAAATTACTGCAAAATGCAAGACCATATCTATCATTACTATAACAGGCTCTACAACAAATTTACCCCACAAATATATAACATATGATAGTGAATGTTTCTGAATAAAAATAGATTATGAGAGTTTGTTTCCTTTTGGTTTTATATTTATTTTATATTTTATAACTCCTCTGCATATTTTAGTTTATAAAATGTCATATGGACATTAAATATTGCTCTATATTTATTACTCTTAAGAATTATTATTAGAGCACATATTTAATTTAAAATTTATCTGCTTCTTAAGCTCCTAAAACACTTGCACTACACAAACACACATTCAAAATTTCTAAGATACACATTTTTCATTATTATTCAGAGAGAATTATGTATAAGGAGTTTGAGAGATTATGTTTGATTAACAAGGTATAAATCAAAATTTAACATGATGACACATGCTACTCTGTCAGCCTGCACATTTTGGCTTTTCCAAAATTTCTTTTTTTCCATTAAAGTGTTTACATCTGATCCTAAATAGCCAACAGATTTATGTACAATTGTAATGGTTAAGAGATTGTCTCAGAAAAAAAAAAAAATCCTGGTGTTCTTGCCAGTTTTCAATATGCCTTTGAGTGTGCTAGTCTACATTTTTAGTAATATCTTTATCTCATGTCTTGAAATTCCAACAGCCTGTTTAAATCCCATTAAGAGATTTACCATATTAATTCATATTAAACCAAACAACTGCAGTAAGCTTATAAAAGATTAAAATCTGACCACTGTTGCACAACCAAAGTACTATAAATGCAACTATTAGCCTGTGTATATGGAAGGTGGCATGACAAAGGCTCTGAAGAATGAAGCATGATTTGCAGCACAAATTTCCAATATGAAACCAGTGCACAAAAGCACTCTGAGAAATAGCGCAGTGATCTAATCTTTCAGCCTGCACCAACTTGTTCATCAGAACTTCATCCTTACTAACTCTTGCTTTCTATATCTGAACGGCATACATTCAATGATCTGTCATGTAACAGAATGCTGTATGAAATACAGAGCATCTTTGAATTGGCAAAGTAAATTCCAGAAAAGTAGACTTTCAAATTTAATATTACTACATTGTTTTAAAAACACAGGTACAAATTCTATGGAGCTACACAGGACTTAATGATGATTTCTTTGGTAATCTTCTAATTTCTGGCATTCGTTTCTGACATATAGGGTTTCCTACTTCTAAAAGCACTTGAGTCAAAAAGTCAAATATAACAAAATTACATGATACTTCTAGTAAAGCAGATTTACCAATGGAATCAGCCTACTACAGACCTCTCAAATACAAATAACTTCTCTAAAAGGAATCCCATTAATACACTGCTATTTTAAATCAGTACTAATAACAGCTTAACTGAAGGAGGAGAGAACCCTCATAGGTAATAGCCAGAGAATGAAAGTCAGATGAATAGTTTTGTTTCACTTTGTAAATAGGATTAAAACCAACCCAACAGCATATCTCCAACACAGCACAAATTACAGCTTTGGAAATTAAAATGACCTCAGACAGCCAGAAAGGTATAACACTGCTGAAATTTTATAGCCATAAGCCAGAAGAAGAAATGTCAGAATATGTACAGCTAAAATCTGCATAATAAAATAAATACCCTTTATACAGAAAAGCCTAACTGAGAATAGCGACTACAACAAACTTAAGAAGAGGAGATTGCACTAAGATCTTAGCTGCTTGCCATGCTAGAAGGTAATCATATTTGTTTAGAATAACAATAATACAACTGATATCAGGGCATTGCATATACTATCATCTCAATAACTACAAAAGACAAAAAAGTAGACTAAAAAACCAGAAAAGCTCACCACTTCTTCATGCCTGCATTTTCTCACATTAATTCCATTAATCTGTTATTAAAAAGATAAAGAGAAGACTTACTCTACATTTCATAAGTATAGATTTCATGTCACTTTTCTAGAAAAATATAAATAGAAGAACTTGCTGTTTTACTCACCTGTAGAATTGCATCTCCTATAAAGAGCAAACCCGAAAGTTCCGCTGAAAACAGAAAGCAAATTTTTCACTCATTTTGTACAACACATCCGACATTTCATGTACACGTATTCCTATTTAATGTTTTTACACAATCTTTTAAAAATTTAAACAAAAACCTAATGAAAAACCCAATATGCAACTTTCAAATATATTATTTAGATTGTTTTTTAATTAACATGTCAGTGTTACAATGAAAGAGTCTACCCAGCCCAAGTCCAAGACTATGAAGCATCTTCCATCGGACACTAGCATCTTTCAGGCCATTATGGTGAGTTATGAAATATTTTTCTGAATAGAAATTGACTGTAGGACTAGGTTCTATCTCTCTGTGAGAGATCATTCCTTACAAACTCTGAGAAAAATGCAACATGGAGACTCCAGAGCTACTTATGAATGAGAAATTTAGCTTGTAAGCTTTTATCAAAGATACTTTAGATCCTGCATCTTTGATAAACTCAGAGTATTCATGCCAGATAACTTTATATAACTTTATATGCTGAAGAGTTAGACAATCAATATATTTTACAAAATCAAGAGCCAAACTGAATCTGACTTTTACAACAAAGCTATATACTATACATTACATGGGAATTTACAACATTTAATTCTACGGTTGCAATTTTTAAATATTGTGCTATGGTACAGAGACATGCAATGCAAATATAATTTTAAAATACACAAGAAATGTAACAAAGATTATTTAAGTGTCTATAAATAAATAAATAATCCCTACCATGAGAACTAAGGCATGTTAACAGATTATGTGGGATTATTTATCTACAGTATTCCAAAACATCACAGCAGACACTCTCTGGAAAAGATTAGAATTGGACTTGATCCAAAAACTTTACTTATTTATATAATTTTAAAAACCGAAATTAATATTGACATAAATTATGATACTCAAGTACATGTCTGAAGGACTGGTTTTATTAGTTAGATGTAACATTAGTTAGATGTAACAAAGGATGCTTAAGTTTCTGGAGATGTCCCTCAAAACTAGCTCTCTAAAAATCAGCTGTATTTGTATTGAAAACAGTAATGGAGATTATATCTCAGCTAGGTATTGAGGTTAGAAATAATGCATCAGCTACTGCAGGGAAAAAAAGAAAAACAACAAACCACCACAACGTGAATTTTGTGTGCACAATTAAAGCCTATCTTTCTTATTTTTCCCACAGTGCTTAATAGCTCTTTAATAGCTATTGTAGGTAATATATGCCACATTATTATGTGTTACATACTTATATGTATACTGAAAAGAACAGAGTCACAAGTATAACTTCTTAAGGTTAACCTTATTACCTTCCTTAGGGACTCATTCCATGCTATTCTATAGCCTCCCTACATGCAACTTTTACATCCACCTTTCATGGCTGGCTTTCAGTTCTCAGTACACTGATTCCCCTGCATCTCTCTTTATCTGTGTGGGTGAATATGAGTTTATTTTTTATGCTGGCAGATTTTAATTGTGCAGAAGCAGCATCCTAGAATTATTGCATTACAGATGGAGGGAGATGCTTCCAAGTTTATGTTTCTGACCTTACACAAATGTACACAAATATACACAAACATAACAGACATTAAATACATCATATTAGTACCGATTAACAACCTTCATCTCTCAGCACTGTGCACATTATGAGCTGTTTAACAATTATCCATCTTCCTAGAACATATTATATCATTCCAGTCATTTCAAAACATTGCCAGTTAAAGACAACACAGAGATTCAGTACCAGTTCTGATTGTATTAAAAATAAGTATAATTAAGACCTTATGCAGTGACAGTTTAGCTATGTATGCAAAGGCCTGCACAGCACAGCACCTAACGCTGAAATAACATTGGGGTAGTATCAAGGTTTTGCCATTACTCACCTCTGTCTAAGTACTACTCTACTAACCAGCATAAAAAGACATGCATTCTCTTCTTGTTTTACCATGCTTTAATGGCCAAACATTTGGTCTGCTACAGCTTCCTGGTCATAACCATTTGGAAATAAAAGCCAGAAAATCATTAACTTCTGTTAAATTTATTAAATGTTTTAATTATCTAAATATTTTCTTATTTCTCACCTTAAAAATGTTTTACAAGAACTTTTTTTTTTTCTAAATCATGTGAAAGACTGTTTACAACATATTCAAAATATAAATTCCATACTTTTTCAAAGAACAGTTCTGAGGAAGACAGATTATAATGACATGGAGAAATGGTACACCAATAGCATTTGTTTAATACTTCCTGAAGAATCAAGACTTAATGGACCTTGCTTTAAGAAGCATGTCAGAAAACACTGTACTAATCTGACACCCACCTCTTTGTTCTTTGGAAATCTTAGAAATTACCACTGGAATATTATGTTCTGCTCCACCCTGAAAACAGAATAAATGGCAATCTCATCAGTCACTGCAAATATCTTTTTGTTTAAAATTACATTTTATCCTTTCTTTAACTGCAGTTTTTAGTGAGACTGAGAAAACAGCTCTGATTCTGCATATTTTTTTTAATATATTTTATTTGAATTAATTCCTTATTGCCTCTTATAAAGAAGTTCTCAGTTGCCATCATCAGCTCAGGAAGTGAATTGAATGTTGTTCAAAACTCTACAAGACTTGAAGAAAAAAGGACATCAGTTTCTGTGAATTCTGGAGAGCTTGGTGTATGAAATTGTGTCTTGCAAAAGCAAAATGGCCATCACACTACAATGGCAGCCATGCTGTGACCACTTAGTTTTCATCCTAGCAAGAAACGGGTAAACAAAAGCCCAAGAAAAGCAAGTTTGGACTTTTAATCTCAAAAGCAGCCATTATTTGTTTCTGTCTCTGTCATGCAAGCACAAAGAGTGAGCAAAGCAGTGGGATAAGTAACAAGGAACAGAAAAAGAAATATTAAGAAAAGGAACAGTAGGTGTTCAATAAATGGGGGGAATAAAGAAAAGGCAGACACTAATTCAACAGTTCAACAGCAATTCAATGCTGTTGCTTCATTCAATTTATCCTGTTGGAACTGGAAATGTTCACAATGCTTAAGAATAAAATATTTAAAAGAAACCTTAAATAAAAAGGAAACTCAAAGGAAGAGAAAGGCAAATATACACAGAGACACAAATGTTTTTTCCTCTGCAGAGAGCATCAAAATATAAGCCTGAATGTAACCTGTAAAAATTCAGATCATCAGAAATGACAGTCTGCCACATTGTTATTTTGCTGAGGAATCCCTGTTAAGGATTTGTTTACTCTTCTCTTCACAGATAGATTTTATTTTGGAAACAATGGTTTTCTTAGGTCTAGGCATCCAGGGTTGAGGTGTGGAAAGGACTGACATGGGTATTTTGATGGCTTAAGGAACAGTACATGTACCCCTTCATTGTGCAACAACCTATTGTTTGAAACTGAACAGACTCCTGCACTCATTAGCTATTTCTGTCATGGAATAAAGATGGATTTCCTGTGAAACTGTAGAACATTAAAGAGGATGTATGTTCCTTCTGCTAGTGGCTATCAATGTAATTGCTCCTAAAACCACTGAATTAATTAATAGGGATCTCAGTAATATTACAACAATATGTATACAAGAAAAGTTCTATTGGCATTTCACTAGATGAATGTTGACAGGCACAGAACATACTGATATTTGTAGCATGGACTAAGTATTCACTGCACAAAGACCATGAGGATACCCTCATTTCAGTCAGGCTTAGAGATGTATTCAGAATAAATAAACTGTAGTATAATAACCTGTTGAATATCTTTCAATGGCTTTCACCAGAGGAACAGCAACAGAAAGAGTTGGCTTCACTTAACATAATCAATTCAAGATCACTAAATTTTTAAGACTTAACCTACACCCTCCAGAGTTTTTGTTATTCACATGCACATTTAATTTCTTCCAAATTTCTCAGTCAAATAGAAAAATAATTCTGTCAGTTCCCTTCCTAAGCCTCCTAATGTTACACAGACATTGCAGGACATTTGAAGCTTAGCAAAGGAGGGTGTAGGGTTTAAAGCTCAGCATAGCTAACATAGATCCTTTTTTCTCAGTAAAATGGCCTCCCTCTGTCCTTCAACTCAGCTCTCCGGTAAAGAGGGAAATTACTGTTCTTACTATGCCAACCTACAATGCACAACATGATTATTCCTCTCTCACTATCTACCTAAATTCCATTTACACTGCAGATCTGAAGAAGTATCCAGTATGTCCTACTGAAGAAAATTATCTCCTCTCACCGAATCCCAGTCTGGCCAGTATGAAGGATTCCTTTTAAATTAGTCATAGGAGGTGTTGTCTACTATTTTAAGAAACAAAACTTCAAAATGGGAAAGTGAAAATAGGCAACCACCTATCTATACCCAGTCATCATTAGCAATTTGTAGCAAGATAAAAAAGTTGTATATATTCTGAAACATCTTGTTGAATACTACTTCAGATTTACACTGCAGCCTTGCATCCTGTATCCTCCATGCTTGATTCTCTGTACTGTAGAAGAAAAAGTGTGTGTTTGTCTAAATCCTGGTTTTATAGGTTCAGAAGATACTCTCTTGAATAAACCTCTGGGAACAGAGGCCACTTTTCCATTGTTTTAAATTTTCCCTCCCTCTAGTGTGGATGTGTAGCTATAACCTCAGACCAGAGGAGGGAACAAAAATAGGTCAATAATGATGTTAAAGTCTTAACAGCTCAGTCCTCTACCAGACTCTAACACTGATCTTTGTATTGTAAATGTTGTCATTTTTCCTTAAGCAGGCAAGAATGAGCCTGGAATAAAGGTAGCTGCCCACCTGTGGGGATGGTCCTGCTAGAAGAGTCAGAGGAAGCTCTAATTACTGGCAATTGTTTGAAGCTCACTGTTCTGGATGTTGGCCATTACTGGTGGGAAGTCACCCACGCTTCCTTTCAAAGTGTCGCATGATACAGTTCTAAAGATTTTTTCTTACCCCAGTTTTTATATATGAGGTTTTTTTCCTGAAGTTTTAGTCATATGAAAAATAGGGCAACAGAAACTAGTAACATTAGTTGACAAATGCCGTTTTCATGTTTCTCTCCAGGTATAATAAGAAATTTATTTTGTTTTCCTAAGCAGAGAGAGTCTATAAAAAAATTAGACCAATTGTTGGACTTTATCATCTTCAGAGTTTCAATGCAGGGGACATTTTTATTTCATACTAAAAGGCAAAATTTATTCCAGCAACAAAAATGGGCCTGCTTGTTTTACCTTTAAGGTCTAGTGGCACAATATGGTTGGTGTATGAGGATAAACTATCCAGATTTAAAAAGAATGACTTTATACATGTTGCCTATTGAAAGCAGTTCATGTGGAGCTCTGAACTGCGTTCACAGACTGTCTTAGAGAATACTAGTTGGTGTAAGCCAAAACTGTGCCAGGAATCATGTAAGCAATTAAACAATATGGACAATTTTAAACTTAAATTTTTCAACTTTTTGATAGAACAGCACAGCTGGAACCAAAATGCCACTTTCCAAATGCATTCAACACCAACTTCTATAAGTTCACAAGGCTTTAACGACATAAAGGTTTTTAAACTAAAAGCTAGATGATTAAAGCTTTCGAGATTTTTTTTTTTACTGTTTCAATTTGAAACACAGCAAAAATATCTTTAAAAAATCACAGAATGAATGAAGAGGAAGAGAATCATCTAAGTATGTACTTAAGTGTGAGTAGGACAGGTACACATGCTTTCAAGATTTTTTGATTGAGTCAATTTTGAAAAGTCAAAACAAATCTCAGCAGACCTGTGATGGTTGTTCATCATTTAAGAGGAATGATCAAAACAGATGCAGGAAAATGGCACTGTACAGAGTCCTGGTAGCCAAGAGTCAGACTGTAACTGAAAAACCTCAATTTATTTAATGAACTATTAATTTTATTGCCTATTTCCACAAGAACACTACACTCTAATTACTGAGAAGCATGACGTTCTTTCAGAAGTCATACACGTAGCAGCTTCTTCTGTCAAGATGTCAGAGATGTGATAAATGATGGAAATACAACACTACACTTAATAATTTCTACATCTAACTCCATGGCTATTCATTCACACAGAGGTTTATTACTGAGGGTTCTAAAGGGGCTTCAGAAATTAGTAAGTAATTCCTTCTAAAGATAAGTTTTGTTTCAATTCAATCACATTTTTACCATTAACTTCACTAAAACGAAGTACAGCGAAACAGAAAACAGAGCTTTTCTGTTCTTTTGAACCTTCAAAGAGTGGATTATAGGCAATTTTTTAAAGGGTTTAAGTTCCGATCTTGTGTAAAAATCAATCTCATGCAGGTTTTTTAAGCAGTTAGCTGAATCTCTGATTTTTACAAATATAGTTGAAGCACCCAGATTATAACACTAAAGAGTGTTCCCCTAATAGACAAGACACCAAAAGATAACTAGATGGTTTCATTTTGGAACTATTAACATTCCGACCTTCTGTTCTTCATGAAAAAAAAAAAAAAAAAAAAAAAAAAAAAAAAAAAAAAAAAAAAAAAAAAAAAAAAAAAATCCAAGGGTCCAGAATACTTAAGGTGGGATAAGGCACTTCCAAAATTTACTCAAGATAAAGTTAAAAGGTGAGTTCATCATGTGGAATTTCTGATGGGTGTTTATATGGGTATTCAAACTAGCAGAAAAAAATAATTATAATGCACTAGAGCGGAATATCAAAACTAGACAAATTCATATCAAAGTACAAGCAAATGCGGGTCAGTAATGCTGTACTGCTACAACTCACGCCTCAGAAAAACTGCATCCTCTGATATACAACACTGCTAGAAAGTAAGTCCTCAGATAACCCCTGTCTTTAAATAATCCTTACTCCTACAGGGTGACTTGTAGACCTCTACTTTAAGGCAAAATAATTACTTTCTTATTTAAAACTAATAATAAAAGTTCAGGAATCCTCCAAAACAAAAAAAAGTAAAAAACTGTTATTCATCTGCAAGAGGAAGCATATAATGATTGCACAGTATCTTTTCAAATAGAAAATTGGCGTTTTTCATAATATTTGGAACTGACATTGACACTTCACGTCATGCCTAAAAAGTCCATTTCAGTGACTCTTCATAAAGTTTGTCGACCAAGCTACAAAACCCATTACTTTAAGTTCCAGTTCTAAATTGTATCTTACTACTATCTTAAATTCATAATAGCAGATTATATTGATTTAATAGTTGGTTTAGATTGTGTTAGCTATCCAATTGCTTGTCAATCTTTCTTTTTGAGAATGTAGGATTACTAATAAAGGGAGATAGTAAAAGCGGTCCCATGTTCATTGATTTTTAAAAGTAAATAATTAAAAAAAAAATCACACTGCTTGACACTCATCAACAGAATACCCCTGAGCACAGAATCTACTCACCATTTTCATTATCGAATCTACACCATATAAGTCTGTTTCCTTTGTTGAAACAGATCTTTTTATTTAATGTCATTTGTTGAAGTGATTCCACCACTTAATTGTTAGTTATTCCAAAAATTAAAAACAGATCATCTATTCATACCTGAAATTATGTACCTTCACCTTTCCACTAATTAGATGAATAAAAATATCTATGAAATAAAATAAAACTAAAAATAGGCATAAAAATGTAATTTAAATCCATTATTTGTAAATTCTATTGAGGTTGCTTCTAATACACTTAATATAGTTTTTTCTATTGCCATGGGATCTTATTAAAAAAAAAAAAAAAGGTAAATTCCATTCTAGACTGAATTCGTAATCTGTTTTGTCACTTTTAAATACTTTTGTAATTTGCCAGAATTTTCTTCAGAACAATGGATATCTTGCTCTAAACATTTAAGACTATCTTATTCCACTAATTTAAGAAAGGCCATTGCACATTCCTTATTTAATTTATATTTCTCAGTGATATTTTATTTTATACAATGTACCTGATACTTAAATAATGTGATCTTGAGCTTTTTGGCAATTTTAATGCTAAATGATAGCTCACTGAAATGTATAATTGAAAAATCAATTTTAGCAACTTTTGAGATTTGCTCACCAAACCTCAAAAGTCCTTACTGTAACCAGTTAATTCTTAGCACCAGCTAAATAAAATTTTAATCACCCATACACTTGATTTTGCATTGACATGCATTACTTCATTGAACTGTAACCTATAATGATATTGGAGGAAACTAACTTGTGTGCTGTTGACTAAACTCATAAGAAACTTTGGCCACAAAATAGCAATTAGTCTTTGAATAGAGGTCGTTAGTGGGTCAACAAGATAGCAGCATGTGTACCAAGATATATTTTAAGAAGTAGTATTTCTAGTCTGCAATATTCTTATCAATGACAACACAAATGCACATTAATCCCTCCTTCTGAGTCACTTTTTATAAGGTCAGTACAAGCAGATGTTCACAACAAAATATATACTTTCACTTTATATGCATAATTTAAGCCTCTTTGCATTCATGTGAAGTACACTTCACTTTTTCCATTGCTATCTTGAGACTGAGGACTCCTGTGTTTAGAAGATAAAATTAATGTTGTGTTGTCTACACTGAAATTCAAAGCTAACATAAAGTTTTAAAAATTATAGATTATGACAAAAAAGATTATTAACCCTTTCTCCCTCTCCTCATCCCTACCTCCCTCCCTCAAAAAGGATCATCTACACTTACATATGTTCTTAAATCTTACTGAAAAAAACAAATATATTTGGTAACATAAATCACTGCCTTTGCTTGATCTACAGAAAAATAAACTATGATAATATGTTCTGTCCTACTAATGAATTAAGAGGATATTCTTTGTAGGAGAACTGATGATGAACTTATTAGCTGTTCCATGTGCCGGCCACTATAATTTAGCATTCATTAATAACCACTTAAATTAGAACGCTGTTGAACAACAGTACAGTCTGTGCAGTTGCAAACACTGTTCAACTCTCATATCAAACCTTATTACAGAGTTGCTCAGCTTGAGCTTTAAGGGAATGATCTTTCCATTGCCTTCCATTCCATTGGACAGTGTAGTTGCTGGTTGCCTACTGTGACAGTATCTAACATCCTAGAATATGTTTAGTCTCTTGTTTCCACTCCTCTAAAATATAGTTTGTCTTCATTAAAAGTAACATTAACTATATTCAAAGACACTTTTTGTGCAATGTGGAATAACAGACCCAAAAAATCATCCTACCTTTATACTTAATCCAAATCCTCCTACCGTCTGTCTTCTAATTGTTACTGTTCTTTCCTGGGGAAAAAAAAAAAAAGTTAGATTTAGTGTTTTCTGCCCTAACACCTATATACACACTTCAATGTTATTTCTGTGCTTCCATCCTACATCTATTTTCCTTGTTTTAATAAATTTGTGAGTTCCTCAATGTGAAAATCCCATGAAACCTATGCTGCAGAGGAAAAAGACAAAGTCTGGAAGAAAAGCAGAGGTCTTGTCTCAGAGAAAAATTAATTTGTTGAATTCATACCATATTAGCAAGTACTGCAATGCAGTAAGAACAAAACTGTAGAGTTTAACAGTGCACAATGAATGCATTTCAGCAGTCTTAACCTCAGCTAGTCCTAAATTGGTCCCATATGCAAGCTGAGCACTACATGCTGTCTGCAGTCCCGTTGCACATTTTCCAATTTAGTTTCATCCAAAAGGAATACAGCTTGTGTACTCCAAGACCACTCAGTGATGTGAACTAAAGCATGATAAGCGTACATGGTCCAGAAATTAATTTCAAAGCACAGTCCTGATCCAAATTAAAAAATTAATATGAACACAGCCCCTGCTGACCTCAAAGCTATGATTTAAAACATTGTAACCACTGATTTAAAGGTTGTCATTATAGACAGAATTATTTAAAGCAGCCCATTTTTTCCCATTTATGCTCGTCCTAAATTTTTTTCTGTAAAAATTGTAGGCTAGTATCTGTCTTAGATATGAGCATTTATTAAAAAGACCTTTTTTTTTTTTTTTTTTCTCTCTGTTGTGTTAACTTTACTCAATTAAGTTAGTGGTAAAAAAATCTTAGTAGCAGATATGCTGTATGTCCAGATATAAATATATGGAAGACACAGACTTTTAATGCCCTTTACATGTGGTCTAGATTTTACACTCATTTCATTAAATATATATTGCATAGCATAATTCTGCATATATATGTGATCTATATATGTTCATACATTTCAGCACAATCAGCATAGATTGCCAGTGTCAGTCAAATTTTCATAAGTCTCTCATCAGAAACATATGAGTGACAGAGAGGATGATATATCTACAGTTACTTGTTGTCTTTCTTAGCACAACACATACACAAGTAGCCATATAAAAGAGTCAATAAAATATTCTTGTTGGTTTTCACTCAAGTGAAGGCAGTCAAGCCAGCCCTGTAAACACATGATTTGGGGCCTTTTGTGAGTTGACTAGTGCTGTCTGACAGGAAAGTAGAAACCTTTTACGCTGGAGTTCAGCAAAGGAAATGTATGCTTCAGAAATACTTTGCTAGCATAACAGATTACTAAGTAGAAAAAACTGTGTAAAAGTAAAAAAATAAAAGGAACAGAAAAATTTCAAGTAACTAATTTTCCAGCACAACATAACTTATCAGAGCATTTCATCTGGTGTTTTTTCTAGGTTCTTTTCTATCTCCATTGAGAGTAGATATTAAATATCTCAGGTCTGGATTGTTAGTGAACTGAATTGAACTTTAAAAACATACTGCAAACTAGATTCGCTCAAGTGATGTGTTATGTGTAATGAAGGCATTGCATCGTATTTTACCTAGGCTAATTAAACACACTTCTCAGTCTTACAATAAAGACATATTACTTTGGTGTATCTGAAGTGTAAAGACTTACATATTTTTCAGCATGATAGTCAGCAATTACAAACATGCAAACTTCATCAATTAATGATCTCAGAAGTACAAATCAGAATTACATGTGGTTATAAAGTTCATTAGTAAACCATCCTCTAGTCTGCAGCTGCGAAGCTCACACAAACATATAGTGAAACAGCTTTTCCAGAACTGTCAGAAGCATCACACATTTTATACACTGGAATTTTGGCTTAGGATCAGACCCCAGCTCTGATCAGCTCCACTTTTTTTCCCAGAAGTTTAGAAGAAAAATGGTAGGACTCATCTAACCATCTCAGTTAATCCATCTAAAACTGAGCCGTTTGTCAGGGCAAGTTTTCTCCTGTACTCAGCAAAGAAAAATAAATACATTCAATCCAGATAACTCACGCAGATCCCCAAGTTAGGTGATCATATTCATCATCATCCAGGTCCTCCACTGAGTACACAGCCGGGATGACAAATTTAACTTCAGAAAGACGAATTCTTCCTCTTAACAGTTGCAAAGTAACTTCAATAAGTATTCTGATGGTAGATACCAGCTTTGAAATGCTTTACCAGCAAAGCCTTTTATCCGAGTTTTTCTTTATGACTTGCAGGTGACTTTTTGTATGTGACTCACAAAAAACCCAAACCAGGCTTCATTTTCAGTGTCATTTCCAACCAAGGTGAACTGAATAAACCTGGTCTGCAAAGCACTATATTTTAATGTATAATAATATTTTCAGTATAATGATTAATAAAGGATATATATTTCAGTATAATGATTATGTAATAATAATGTAATAAAGACTAGCAAACTGAAGCAAATAATTTTGTTTTGATGCTTTTCACTGGTCTAAATTCTGAAACTATTTGTTAATAAAATATGGCAACAGCTCTGGAAAGCAACACATTTTTTATTAGAAAGGAAGTGCTCCAAGTATCCTTATTGACCATTTGTGCAGAGGTTAAAGATAGTGCTGCTCCATTGATTCCAACTATCTGCTTAAAATAAAATCCAACTAAAAATCTCTTTCAGCTGTAGTCTTTTAATATTTTATTTAGTTTCACTTTCCCCTCTATTTGCACAGGGTAGTATTCTATGATTGAATTTGTAAAGGTTTTGCAAATTTCAAAAGCAATTTTACAAAGTTTTCCAAGTTTACAAAATAACACTTAATGCTGATGAAAAGCTACTTAGTTCAATACCAAGACTACTGAAAATGGCCTGTGAGCTTGTAATTCCATTATACATTGTTATACATCAAGAGGGAAGTTAAGCTCTTAGGATCCTTAAATGTAAAATTCAGAGCAGTGTTTTAGAAGCTGTTTCCTGGAACAGAACAAAAGTAGTTATCATTTTATGGAAAAACTCAAAGGTGCTGCCAAGCTGTCAGCATTTTCCATGCCTCTAACTCAGAAAATTCCTCATCCACACATATGTTCATTGACTGGAAAGTTAAGAGTTCTGAAAAAAAAAATAAAAATTCTTCTTCAGTGTTATGCAGTGAAAAAGAAGCAATGGTTTTTAGGCTTTCATTAAAGAGGTATTAAAATTCTCCTTAAAATCCATATGATCTTGAGATCATGCACGACATCTTAAATGAGATTAGAAGTGAAGAATGACAGTGTGAGCACACAGCAACAGTAAATAGTCAGGAAAAGAAAACACAGAATCCTATGGACACATTAACTAGTTAAATTTAGTCAAGAGTTAATGTTTTTTCTAACAGTTAAATCTTAGGGTACAGTAAAGAATCAAATATTTCCTACTAACTGGTATGTCATGGAAAAGAAAATTTACAATTGCTTGACTCAACAATAATCACTAATTAGTAATGCTTTCAGATTATTTATTCTGTATAATAAAAAACAACAATCTAATGTGATCTAATAAACTATCTCTATTAAAGTAGTCCAGTAATAGTTGAACAAAAGGTCATAGAAACTTCAAAATTTCATAAAACTGAGTTAACAGCATGTGAAATTTCAGTATTTCATTATTGAACCTTTTTACTAGGATATAAACATTACATTTTCAGTTTGGGACACTGGTATGCCTGGTTATTTATCTTACAAGAGTAAAGGTATGAAGAATTCATTTGTCAAGGTCCAGACAGAAAACAAGACTTCTCTTTTCACTGTGGATAGAACAGACACCATGGTACTATACATATGGAAGTACATGGAAAAAAGCTGAATGGTTGTAGAACAAAACAGTAGGTGGGAAAAGAGGAATAGACATGGAGAGGAATGTACAATAGCACACAGCAACATGGAAAAAGGTAAGGGGAAAAAGGAGGAAAATGTTAGAATGCAATTTCTAAAATGTAATAATGAAATATAAACATAGAACCAATACATTGGCAGCAACTCATAGATCAAACTGTTAACATTTGATGCCATAATATCTTCAAGGCCATGCTCTCATGTAGTTTATCATTTATTAGTAGTTCCACTAATTTTGAAACAAGAAAATGTCATGAGAATTTTTTTTTTCCATTTAATTATTTGAAACATATTCAAGAAAGGAGATTCTATATCCTCCTTTTGTTAATGCTTTGCTCTTTCTTACCAGCCTTTCCTTGGATTAATCAACATGAGCAATGAAACTTTACACTCATTCTGAGCGTAAAGGACACAGGACATAGGTCAGCCACATTTCCAATTTGAATTAATAGTGTTAACAAGGTTATCCAGCAGACTTGCTCATCTGCTAAAAACTTTCATTGTGTGACATTCGAAGATTGTCTCATTATGTCAGTTCCTCATGCAACTGGAGAAGGTCAGCAGTAAGGGGTGGCAGCAGAATGCCTGGTCAATTGGAAATTCCCCTTCCTCTGCAGCTGTGCAGGAGACTTGAGGGTAGTAAATGCAGCTGTGTTATGTAGACTGCTAACACTGACTGGAACAAGCAACATCGTGCAACCCTTCCCTTGTTCTCACTTCAAAATGTTCCAAGTCCTATAGCATATGCCTAAAAGCAGAAACATTCACCTAGTTATCTACCTATAAAAGTTCTACTCCTAGGATTGATTTATTTCAATGGTACTGCGTTTGTTAATTTAGAAATAAAAGAGAAAAAAAACCACAAACCCAAAGTCTGTATGGATCTGAATTCCCACGAGGCTTAGTAACAAATACTATCTGAAGTTTTGTGATAGCTGCAGTTTCCAGCTACTGCCTCACATCATACGCTGACATTGATCAATGATTTGGGTTCGCCAAGTGTTTTCTGGTTTGTAATATTTTTCTTTATTTGTGGGGGAAAAACCTTCTTCCAGTGAGAAAAAGCTATTCTGCGATTTCAAATTTGACTTTACAAATGCCAGTCGTGTTTGAACTGCAGTAGATTGTTATGCTTATTATTTTTAAGTAGCTGCAGAAAAATAAACTGGCTTAAGTTGTC